TGGTAAGGTTTAATCATACTGCGGGTGAAATAAGTAAAACCAATTGTATTAGATGGTTGTTGCCTTATAAGATTAATTTTCTCTGGTTGGATATGTGCACAATCGTTGTATTCTAACTTATTTGTTTAAATGTTTCATGCTCGCCATGAAACTTGTCGGTCTTAAGTTTGATTTCATGTAAAATGGTTTATAGGCACTAATGAAGAGTCCCAAACTAGAATAAGAAACCAGCTCAATGCTCTCTGGTTTACCATAGTTTTTCAGTTAATTTCAGTTCATGAGTAGAAATTTCAAAAGCTTTGTCCTGAAATGTGAAATTTTTATTGATTAATAATGAATCTGAACAGTTTTATATTTTAGACTAAGAGAGAAGATATAACTATTGTATTCTACAACTAGGGAACCTGAGGTCGAACCCTTGTTCTAGAATTCGTATAACCTTAGTATTGGCTGAAATAAACAACCCTATACTTCAATTGTATTTGATTTATGTACCTGATAATTGGATTGGTTCTTCTTAGAGCTGTGTTGTTGTACCGATGAGAAGCAAAAACAGGACTTTTATAGCATTTCTGTCATGTCTTCTCCTTAACCATTTTGATCAAGTCTGGAACCGTGTGGTATTCGTTCATTTGTGATCAGTCCATCTTCGTGATAACGGTTTCTTGTTTTTTGGTAGGGGCTTTTACTGTTTGTTTATGGTATCTTAAATAATCCTACAACCTTCCTGTAAGAATTGTTGACAAAAGCATTTTATTCTTAATCATTAGATCGTAGGTTCAAACTCAGCTCTCTATATATACTTCGTTTTATCAAGTAAATGAATAGTACTAGTGATTCCCCACAAAAATATATAATTGAAAGCTTATTGCATAAGTATTTATTTAATTACTGAGTTGCCACAAAGAAAATCAAATCAAAATTTAATATGTACACAATTAAAACTGTACGGTTAATAATCAGTTATGCCTTTAACTTTTAAAAATCATCATTCCATTGACTCTTCTATTCATTTAACTGTAATAATTGCCTTAGTCATTTTTAGGATATTTTCAATTTATTATTATTTTTTGTTATTGTGAGCACATACTAAAAACTATCCAGAAAAAAAAGCAAGATAAAATGATACTAAACGAACATTTCCACTTTCAAACATTTGAAATCATCAATCAATCATTGTTAAACCACCATTAGAAACCTGGAAGCACTGAAAGACGGCCGTTTCATCCTGGTATGGGACTCATCAGTGGCAGTGCGCATCCACGACTCCTGCACCTCGCAGGATTCGAACCCGGGACCTTCGGTATTGTGCGCGAACGCCTAACCAAATGTGTAAAAACACAAACCTCCAAAACTCTGCCTGAAAATTTCCTCTTTTATTTTCATGCAATCATATGCACCGACATACACTTAGGGCTCTATTTATTACGTAAAATTTAACTTTTGTTTGTCTATTTTCAGCCGGTATGCTTCATTCGTTTTTCTTACAATAAAGTTTAAACTATAAAGAAAAAAGAAATTATCATTATAGTTATATAGATACACTAAAGATTCCGACTCAATCATTGCATAGACTTACTGGCATACATCGGTTTTTTATCAATGTTAAAATGTTAAACATGTGGAAACACGTTATGAAATTGTATAAATGTATAGTATTATTTTTTCAGCTGAGTTACTGTATCATACTTATTATCATGATGACTTAGAAAGTTTATTTATTTCAATACTAATACATGATTGTGCTACTATGTTAAGAATATTTACTAAAGTATGTCTACTAAAGTATTTATAATAGAGAGAGAGAGAGGTCTTTAGGCATAGTGATGTGTATTTTATCTTGTATGCACATGTGTGTATATGAATAAAGTCACTTGATCATCCTACTTTTAAGTTACGTGCTTATAGGTCGATAGTTTGTCGGTTCAGTCTGCCAAATAGAGTATGTGAGTCAACAAGAAAAGCACGCGGTAATGATAGAATGAAACCATATAAAACTGAAATCATGAAAAATTTGAAATTAAGGAACGTGAATAAAATGAATTCTAAATCCTATCACTTCTGCTAGAATTCATGCAACTTCACAACTTACATCATTCCCCCCTAAAAATGTACGAAGATTATGTTTGTATCTTATCATTTCCCTGCATCCAATACACTTACCACACTGCCTCATTAAGCGTATTGTATCAATAAAGACAATGAATGGGGAAACGTCAAACATCCAAACTGTTAACCTACTACTGAGTCACATAAGTAGTTGAAAAATTCCCATGCTAAAAAAATAATACTCACCAGCCAGATTACGATGAACGAACTTCGTGGTTGTCATTTCATTTATTTCCATCCATGGATTATGTGAATTAATCAAATAGTCTAATAAATTCTCAAATATTTTAATTTTTCAATTAGAGTTATGGAGATTATTGTTTTTACACATTGAAATCATTGGTCAGCCATAGCTAGATCACCATTAGAAACCTGGAAGCATGACCGAAGGTCCCAGGTTCGAATCCTGCGAGGTGCAGGAGTCGTCGATACACACTGCTGATGAGTCCCACACCGTCCAGTGCTTCCAGGTTTCTAATGGTGGCCTAACAATGATTAAAATATTTTAATATCATTTTATTTTAAATATTGTATGCGTTGCAAGTACTTGTATTGATTCGTTTAGATGATCACTACATAGTCATATATGATAACGAACAATTTGAAATGTGTGATAATTGTCATTTTGCTAATCGTCTTTTCCAAATGATGATCCACTGTTGTGATTTGTAATCACAATTTAACAGAACTATTTGAACATTAAATATTAAGGTGGATTTTATTTCAAGATTTTTTACATTGAATCTCATATTTACACCACCAACATGTGTATATTGAGAACTGAAATTTATCTAGCCATTATTTTTTCCTAGATTTCTTCTGAGTTATGTAGGGTTAGTGATTTGAAACCATGTTCATTACAGTGACTTGTTGCTGAGATGCTCATAGAAATTTAAAAAGCTTTAAAGTGAAATACCTTGTACAGGCTGAAAATACAATTGATTTCAAATGTGTAAAAAAACACAAACCTCCAAAACTCTGCCTGAAAATATCGTAAAATGTGCTCACTAGTGACTAGCTTCGTGAGGAAATCCTCGGAGTTCTAGTTGAGAAGACGTGACCAATGGAGTTCAACCCTGTCGGGTGTAGGCAGTAACTACCAAAGACAAATGGGTGAGGTTGCGCGAAATCCCTAAATCAATCAGAGTTAGACATTAACACCGTTGGATGCCGGCCTCAGTGGTCCGATGGTTAGGCATTCGCGCACAATACCGAAGGTCCCGGGTGTGAATCCTGCGAGGTGCAGGAGTCGTAGATAGGCACTGCTGATAAGTCCCATAACAGGACGAAACGGCCGTCCAGTGCTTCCGGGTTTCGAATGGTGGTCTAACAATGATTGATTGATTATTTCGAATGCGTAAAAACACACCTCCAAAGCTCTGCCTGAAAATACAATATTTTATAATCGTTATAAAATAATAATTCATCTGACTTCAGCTTTGGTTATAATTCAAATCCAAAGCCATCGATAATGATATCGTAAGTATCTTTTATCTTTTAAATATAAACATATTATGGTCAACTTTTTATACATCATAGTAATTTATCATGTTGCTAGTAAAGAATAAATCTAGTATCTTTCTTTTTTTGTTTAAAATGTTTTCAAGGCATGGAACTCGATGTGCTGGACAAATTGCTGCTCAGGGTAATAACTCTGTATGTGTTGTTGGCATTGCTTATAATGCACAGATAGGTGGTAAGTTCCTGTCTATTTATTGATGAACATGGTGTTTCTTTTCGTTTTTAATGTCTTTTTTTATTCTATACTGTTTATATTCGTTACAAAATAATACATCTCAGTTTTCCAAACGAGGGTTTAACCTTTAAACCAGTTAGCTAGCATCTAGTGGCTTATATTATCTAAACTCAATCAATTCGCGATATTATACAAACATCTTACATTGTCTTCGATAGATGAGCTTCCTCATATCCTACACCAACTCCGCTGGTCATGGCTTCTTACTAATATTTTTGAAACCATGAATCGATCAATGTTAGGCCACCATTAGAAACCTGGAAGCACTGGTTCAAATCCTTTGGGATGGAGGAGTCGTGGATGCGCACTGCTGGGCAGTCCCATTCCAGGACGAAACGGCCGTCCAGTGCTTCCAGGTTTCTAATGGTGGTCTAACAATGATTGATTCATGGTTTCAAAAATGTGTAACTTAACAATCTTCACAACCCCGTAATGTTCTTACTATAATAAGCACATGGTAATAATTATTTGATTAGTCGATGAAAGAGCATTGACTTGTTCATTTTCTTTTTCACATAGAATCAGTAATTTTACTCTGAATAGACTTTAATTTTCATTCATCCTCATCCTCCTCCTCCTCATCATCATCTTTATATCTCTGTTCGTGTATGTAGAAAAATTTTATTTGTTTTTTTTAATTATAATTATAATTATTGTTATTCTCCTAAAGTCTGACCACTTTCTTCATTGTACTTATACAATTGTAAATAATAGAGATTGATTTGTTTTTTTGACCTTTCTATGCGAAAATTATGACCCTATAAGAAAATATATATATATATATATAACTGGTCTTTGTACCACCTCTCTATAACTGTTCGCACAGATAATCGTGTATCGAATATGTTTAATTTTTGTGTCAATTTTCTAATTTTTATTTGTTTTATCATTGAATTTTTTATTTGTTTACAAATTCATTGAATTTTTATTTTGAAATTGATCATTGGAAAAGTTATTATTATTTTTTTTAAATAATTAATTATTTATTCATTTGTTTGTAACCATTTTAATGTGATAATGATGATGGAAACTAACCAAAAAACAAAGTTGTAAAGGTAATTGGTTTTTTGTTTTGTTTTTGTTTTAAGTGATGATACTGATGATGATGTGTTTGTTTTTTTATGATAGAGCTATTGAACCAATCAAATTATAAAAATAATAGTTTTACATCTGTATTCTAATGTACTTGTTCATAGAGAATTTATGAAATGATATGAAACATTAGCGAAATTGGTGAGATGATATCATTTCAACCGGCGGATGAAACACATTTCAGTATATATATATGTATATATATATATATATATATATACCATAAATTCTCTATGAACAAGTACAGTTAGTTTTCAGGCTACTAATCTATGTTAACATATATATATATTTTTTCAGGCAGAGTTTTGGAGGTTTGTGTTTTACACATTTGAAATCATCAATCAATCATTGTTAGACCACCATTAGAAACCTGGAAGCACTGAAAGACGGCCGTTTCGTCCTGGCATGGGACTCCTCAGCAGTGCGCATCCACGACTCCTGCACCTCGCAGGATTCAAACCCAGGACCATCGGTACTGTTCGCGAACGCCTAACCATCGGACCACTGAGCCCGCATTGGCACCCAGTGGTGTTAATGTCTAACTCTGATTGATTTAGGGATTTCGCGCGACCTCACCCATTTGTTTTTGGTAGTTACTGCCTACACCCGACATGGTTCAACTCCATTAGTCACCTCTTCTCAACTAGAACTGCGAGAATTTCCTCACGAATCTAGTCACTAGTGAGCAATGTTAGGATATTTTCAGGCAGAGCTTTGGAAGTTTGTGTTTTTACACATTAGAAATCATCAATCAATCATTTTTATGTATATATATATATATATATATATATATATATATATCACTAACCTAAATTCTTTATTCAGAATATGAATAATAAACTGGTGTCTTTATCTTCAATCTCTTATGCATGTTAAACTAATAAATTCTCTTTTTCCTCCCTTTTTAAAATATATAATATGTTGCGTTTAGCTGAAGTTTTCTGTCCTTATTTCGTTCTATATAGATTATATTCTTCAATATAGTTAGGTTTTGATCATTCCTGTTATTCTGTTGTCTTTTTTACTAAATGAGTAGATAAGATTTACTAATAGTTTTATGCTATGGAATAAGTGTTACAATGCAAAGTTGTTTCTAGACTGAATCTACCAATGATACTGAGAAGAAGACACTCGTTCAGATTGTTTTTAGAAGGACTTAGGTTTGACTTGGTGAGTAAACAGATGTATATATATAAAAAAGCTTTTCAGTAGGTATAGATCTCCCAGTTAGTTTATCATACGTACCATAAATAAGTCAACTCATTTGTCTTGTGCATTGTTCAGCTGCCAAATCCAACTGTCTCTGTTAAGACGATTATATCTATGGAAAGGTGTTTCAAATATATTGTTTATTAAGAAGTGGATCAAAACTGATTATTAATATACCTTTTATTTGTTGCATGTATTATTAAAGTGAAATTTAATTAAATGTGGAGCATGATGTTCCTGCCGATTATTAACTAGTGCGAAGACTAAGCCATTTGACTTCCAATCACTCAGCTTCATCTTTTTTTTATTTGGCTTTATGCGTTTATACTTATCTACTAGTTGGTATTATTAAGCGCTACACATTAAGTATGCTTCAAAGCCTACTCCACAAAATTGTGCTTGACTATTAATTTTTCAGTTAATTTATGGTTGAGTATTAATTAATGTCATTTACATCTAGTCTTTTGCAAAGTTTAACGACAATCTAATAGTAGTAGTTCACTAAAATTGGATAGCGTTTATTAGTTGTAGTGGGTTTAAGGCTATTCGCAATTTCAGAAAAATTCATCCACTAATCAAGTTTCTATATCAATGAAGCCTGATTTCATCCTCACAGTTAGAGAATAATAAATACTGTAAACACAACTCTCCATAAATGTACCTGATAAAAAAAGGATTAACTTCATAGCTAGATTATTCCGTTACACAATTCTCATAAATTCAAATCATTACCAAGGGATGAATTATTAAATTATATTTGTTCTAATATTCACCCATTTGTGATCTTTATTAACTAAAGGTTGTTAAAGACTATTGTTGATGAACTCAAGATTAATCTTCAGAGTTACAGCCAGTGTGCTTCATTTACATATTTCCAATATGTACAAAATTCAAGTTCATAGCTTCATTCTGACTTCATTAATGACAGGTATTTTCTTATTACATGAGTAATATATATATATATATATATATATATATATATATATATATATATATATATATAGAGAGAGAGAGAGAGAGAGAGAGAGAGAGTTTACCATAGATTAATTTTTAAACAGTTAAATATTTCTTACATAACTTTTTTTCTTTCATATAACTTAATATACACTTAATAAAATGAAAGCTCTCTAAAAATAATTTTAAATTAACTGACGAACGAATAAACAACAAATAAATAAAATCCATAATTTCTAAAGCACGTCCCTATCAATAAGATAAAGTTAGGTAAGGAAAAAAAAACGAGAGTCATGAATTATTTATGACCACGTCGTATGTACTGTATAGAAAAAAAAATGGAAGAAAGGGAATTTCATTTAACCGAATAATAGGTAAGTAAGCATAAGTCGATCCACTGACTTTCTTTGTTTGGTTTTTTTTTTCTCGCTTTGTGTCATTTCATTTCCTATACCTGTGTTCTGCTTGTTTGCCACTTTTACGATTTGTATAAATATGTTTAAAGAAGAAAAATTCTAATAATATACTTGTTAATTTGGGCACTTATGTACATGAAATAATATGTAATATGTTAATATTTTAAACGTTTTTCGATATGTGGAAATACCCTTATTTTCTTATTGAATTACTTGAGTTTTTAATCCACCAAAATTTTATTATTATTATTATTATTTCTTTTCTTTTTCATATCCTATTTTTTTCACTTTTTGTTTGTTAAAATAAACTGTTCAACAGTCTGGTCTATATTACTTTATAGCTAAAAAAACATGGTTTACAAAAGTAGATCACACTCGTTACCCACAGATTCTTGATCATAAGACTATTTACCCGATTGTTCACATATGTCAAACTGTAAAGGAAGCAATATTGTAATTAATCTGAGAATACTAGATAACGTAATTAGCAAATCGGTTGGTGTGATAACGTATCTTTATCGATAGAAAGTGCTTAGGATGTTCGCTTCATATTTCCGGACATTGCTTATCTTGACTTACATTGTTTGCTGGTGTTGAAGTAAGCTGGAAGATAGATAGTTCATGAAGTCGTTAAGTGTTAAACAGCCTAGATAGTAGGTTCAGACTATCTGGGGAATGTCCGCACGATTATCACAACAAATAGTCCAAAAGGTCGAGTCTCATAGAGAATGATCGGTCAAAAGTTCTCAGATGTATCTTCCTTTTGTTTCAAAAGACGTATATTTTTTTTTTATTCCGCCAGGTTGATTTTTATTCTCAAATGCTATTTCTTGTGATTAATGTTTCCTGAAACAACTGATAATGTTATTACTTTTACTATCCCTTCATTCACCTAATTAACTTCATCTCAGTGTACTGATGTGGTGTAACAAATTGAATCGATACTCCAAGTTCCATGTTTTTTTATAACTGACTGACTCAAGAGAAAATACGATCAGAGAAAACCATTTTTATTATTATACTTACGTGGTTACATTGTGCCTATTTGCCTACCTTCATGTATGAATTGTTTATTTAACTTTTTGCTAGTCTACTTTTGTTTTAATCTTATCCTATTTAGGCGGAATTCATTCATTTTGATAAATATTGCAAATCTTATCGAAATAATAATTATTTCTTGATGAAATGTTTTTCGTTTCACATATGTTTAATAAGTTTCCCTTTATATTTGTATCATTTATAGTTTAATTGGATTGTTCAACCATCTTG